AGAATTTAGGTGAAATTGCCTCTGATGGCAGTAAAATTAATGCTGTAATAAACTCTGCAAACTTTAATATTCTACACTTCAATGCACAAAGTTTGGTTCCTAGAGAAAATAGCACTAAATTTGATGAAATTCGTAACTTGATAATGGATTGCGATATTGATGCCGTTGGTATAACGGAAACATGGTATAAGGAGTTTATTTATGATTCGGCTGTGTCAATTCCTGGTTTTAAACTTTTTAGAAAGGATAGAAGTGGTTGTAGAGGCGGGGGGGTTTGCTTATACATACGGAATAATTTAAAGACTGGTAATATTTTTGATGAACAATATGATGTTAATGTTGAATCACTTTTCGTGGAGATAATTTTAGAGGACAATTCAGTAGCTTTGTTAGGTGTTATATATCTTCCTAATGGTCAATTCCTTTGTTGTGAAAGGGTCCTTGAAAATTTCTCTTCTAGGTATAATAATATAATTTTGATGGGCGATTTTAATATAAACCTTTTTATTAATGGTGCTATTGTTCGCGAAATTTGCGAGCGACTGTCGTTATATATAGTTCACAATTCTTTACCCACACATTATTCTCCTCAACAATTATCTACATCACTTATAGATTTTTATCTAGTCTCTGACATAGAATTAGTTAGTAGTAAACATCAATTTCAAATACCTGCTCTAAATTCCTATCATGCGGCAATATTTATAACATATAATATTTCTCAGTTTAAAAATCCGGATATATACCTTTGTAGGGATTATTCAAATCTTAGCTACGACCAATGTTTACTTCAATTAGAATCTATGAATTTTTCTGGCGTCTATGATAGTTTGAATGTTGACGAGAGTGTAGAATGTTTTAATTCCAATTTAAATCGTTTGTTTGAGGATAATGTACCAAATCGTAGAGTAGTTAAAAGCGTTGTACATAATTGGATGAATGAAGAGTGTATTTGTAGTGCTAAGCGTATTAGAGATCTGACATATCGTGCCTACAGGGAAAATAGGTCTGATAGGAATTTTGAAGCTTATCGCAGAGCTAGAAACAGATTAAAAACCATCATAAGAGGTGTTCGCAGGAAGTACTGTTTAAGATTTTTTTCTACATGTGATCAGAAACAGTTATGGTGCAAGATTAAATCTATAGGAATTGTGAAATCACCAGGAAATGAACGGTTTCCTATTTCACTGAACGAGTTTAATGAATTTTCCCGTATGGCTGGAACTGCTGATGGTGGTCTTGACCATTTACCTTCCTCTGAAGGATTTACTTTTGCAAATGTTACGGAAACTGATGTTTTAAATGCAGTTTTAAGTATCAAATCTCAAGCGGTAGGTGCTGATCAAATTCATATTAAATTTCTTAAATTCATAATACTGCCTATTTTAAAACATTTAACATTTATTATTAACAGGGTGTTGACAACATCGGTAGTTCCTAAAATTTGGAAGGTTGGTAGGATTGTACCGATTCCTAAAGTTAAGATTCCTAGGAATTGTTCGGACTATCGTCCTATCAGTATTTTGTCAGTCTGTTCAAAAGTTTTGGAACTAATTATTAGGGAACAAATGTTACATCATCTAAATAGTTGTAGTTTGATTCATCCACATCAATCAGGTTTTAGGAAAGGATTTAGTACTACTGGCACACTTCTGGAAATCACGGAAACTATTAGGGAAAACTTCGACAAGGATTTGGTTAGTATTTTAATTTTTTTGGATTATTGTAAGGCATTCGACTCGATTAATCATTCATTGTTGATCCATAAGCTCTCACATACATTTGGTTATAGTTCAAGTGCCTGTAAACTCATTTACTCTTTCTTACATGGTCGCAGTCAATTTGTTCAAATAGAACGTGAAGTTTCTAGTAGGATTCCAATTTACCGTGGTGTGCCACAAGGGTCAATGTTAGGGCCATTATTATTTTTGTTATATATAAATGACATTTATCATGAATTAAATTTCTTGAAATGTTATACCTATGCTGATGACATACAGCTTTTATCAACGTTTGACTTATTATCTCTACAAAATTCTGAGGCGCATATTAATTCTGAACTTGATCTTTTAGTTGATTGGTCAAAACGTAACTTCTTACAACTAAATGCCATGAAATGCAAGGTAATGGTATTTTCTAAACAATCTATTTCTTTAAACATTATTCTGAATAACGAAGTATTAGAAATTGTTCCTCATTATAAAACACTTGGTATTATTTTGGATGATAAGCTAACATTTAGTTTTCATATAAATTCAGTAATTTCACGAATATCTTGGACATTGAGAAAGTTATATAATATTGGTTTTTACTTGCCCTCTTCAATAAAACGTCGTGTTGCTTTATCATTGTGTTTACCGTTATTAATTTATGGTATTGAAGTTTACTCATGTACCTCAAACTCCAACATTGACAGATTAAAAAGATCCTTTAATAGTGTAGTACGTTATATTTATGGACTTCGGATTAGTGATCATGTTTCTCAATATTACGTTGATTTACTTGGTTGTAGTTTCTTTCGATATGTTCAGTTGAGAAAAATGATTTTCTTTTTTAAAACTATAAAATATGGTAAACCTGACTATTTGCAGAATAAATTTAACTTTGCTATTTCAAATAGAACACATTCTTTAATATGTCCAGCACATGTTTCATTATTTATGACGAGATCATTTCGAGTTAACATAGCGCGCTTATGGAATACTGTTATTCCTTACCAGGAACGTAAATTCTCACATTCATTATATGCATTTAAAAATATTTTTTTGTCGAATTCATAACTAACCCTGAGCCTATTTTTAATGATATTCCACTATGTAAATGTATATTGTACAGCCATTTCCCCTAAGTTTTTATAAAATATTTAATTGGTATAACTCATTTGTTGCAAAAAATCTTTTATATAACCTTATTGCATTTCGCTCCTATTATGTTTTACTGTCATTTTTAGGCTAATAATATTATCTTTATTTTCACCAATTTATAGAATCCTAATCAGTGTGTGCAAAACTTCAAGTCTAACTATTAAAAATAAGAAAATTATAATTAAAAAAAATTATAAATATATGTTATATTTTCTTACTAAATAATGTACCAATAATATTTTTGTATTATAAGTATATTTAATTGTAGACTAGCCAATTAGGCCCTATCGGCTTACGGCCATTGTTTTTGAATAAATAAATAAATAAAATAAATAAATAAAATTTAAATGTTCAAAAAACATTGTTTTATTTTGTAAGTTAGAATTTTTCGAACTTAATGCTAAAGTTATTTTTCCATATTCGAAAAATAAGAAATAGTTACTGTTTCCTCAGAAAAACAAATTAGAAAAGATATCGAAAGACCTTCTTAAATTCAATATACATTTCAAAATCAATTCCGACAATGATTGGATTTTATGACAACCCCGATTAACTAGGTATAGAACTATAAGTATCTGTGATAACACAAAAATGAGTATTTGTTGTCATTTATCATTAATCGAATATTTCTAAAATGTTTTTTTTCATAAAAAAGTTTCTAATAATTTCTCCGGTATATTCCCGACAAATACCGGGTAGAATACCATTTATAAACATTTGCTTGCTCTCTAGTAAATCGACACTACAATAATTTTAAACTTTTTTATTTATTATTTCTATATAATCAATACTGCATGGTAAAGGAATTTTTCTTATAAATTCAATATTTTCAGTGAAATGTAATGCGAACATCAGTTTTTAAGTATTATTTGCGTCTAATATTTATTTATTATTTTATACATACATTTGATTTAGCTAATCAGTAAATTCATATATGTATGTTTGTATGTTTTGTTCGAATTAATGTATAAATTAGCTTAATAAATAAATATATATATTAATGTATACAAACAAACATACAGATATGCATAAATAAATAAATAAATAAAAAAATAAATACTGTGCACATGCCTATGGTGTGGTTAGCAACGTTTCGTCCGTCTAATAGTAGAAGCTGACCGACCCATCAGTACAACAGTCAAGTGCGAATTTTAAGTGACAAGAAAAAAATATTATTTTTTTCCTTAATTAAATAAAGGCGTGATTTGAGCATATTCATTTAAATAATTCTATAAGAAAGTTTAGCATATTAGTTTTAATCTCATGAATAGATTTGATGATTTGTATTTTGCTTTCTCAGAAAATTGATAAAAGTCTATGTTTATAAAATTATTATTTTGAGCTATTAATTTCAGAAGTTATTAAACGCAATATTTTTAATACAAAAACACTTTTTTCATGGATCATTTTACACATTTTTGTAGAATATTTTAAGGGATAAAACCAATATTGTTACTTATTTCAAATTACGTTCTTATTTTCGAACTATTTACTATTTAAATTTAAAAAGAAGATAAGGTCGAATAATACAAAATTTAAGATTAATCTAAAAAAATAAATGCGCAATAGCCGCTAAACTTTTCCAATCTGATAATAAAATTTTCTATAACATTTTAAATCTGACATTTGACAATGTAAATTGCAAACATAATCAAATTGTTTACCATCTTTATTAAAAAAGTCACTTTTTCAAAATTATTGTTATCATTTAAATTGCATTTGAAAACTGAAAAGTTCAGAAATAAAAATCGCGCCATAACTAACAATTTGAATTAAGCCTCGCCACTATATAGAATGAGTTCAATAAACTTATGCGAGAGACACAGAGAGGAGAGTTTAGCATAATACACACAAGTGTTGTTACTAAATGTCGCTTATAGTACTTTCCACAAAGTACATGCATAACTAATAAGGCAGTGTTGGAAAGGAATGAATTTATTATTTTAAATATAATTGTTTAAAAATAAAACACCACCAAAGAATTAATTCTTTATTATAACTTGTATTTAGTAGTTGACTTTTATTTGCCTTCTTTTTTATTTATTTGAAAATTATCATCATTTTGAAATAAATTTGTTTTCACACTTTTTTATAATAAAATTGATTTTAATCTCATTAATTTCCTTTTGTTTACAGTTAATAAGTAGTCAATATGCCGCCACGTTCGACTACAGTTTCTAATAACGATGAGCACTTGGAGGCCACCGCCACCACTGAATTGGGTGCCTCCAAACAGACTGGTGTACTTTTCGAAGCTGATGCCGATACCGTCGATGGTGCTTTGGCCGTCGATATTACCCAATTCAAGAAGGCCGAAAAGCGTAAATTGAAATTGGTTTGGCGCAACATTATTTTGTTTGGCTATTTGCATTTGGCTGCCTTGTATGGTGGTTATTTGTTCTTTGCCAAAGCCAAGTGGGCCACAGTATTCTTCTGTAAGATTTCTTTATATTACTAAGCAAGAAAAAGAAAACTAATATTTCTTCCTATTTCCTCTAGCCATCTTCTTGTATTCCATTGGTGTTTTGGGTATTACTGCCGGAGCTCATCGTTTGTGGGCCCATCGTTCCTACAAAGCTAAATGGCCTTTGCGTTTGATTTTGATTGTCTTCAATACCGTTGCCTTCCAAGATGCCGCCTACCATTGGGCTCGTGATCATCGTGTCCATCACAAGTTCTCTGAAACCGATGCTGATCCTCATAATGCCACCCGTGGTTTCTTCTTCTCACATGTTGGCTGGTTGTTGTGCAAGAAACATCCCGATGTTGTTGCCAAGGGCAAGAGTCTTGATTTATCCGACTTGAGAGCCGATCCCATCCTAATGTTCCAAAAGAAGTAGGTTTTATTTAGCACTTTTAAAATCGTAATTGGTTTTCATATTTATGTTTAATTTTTTTTTTTCTAGACATTACATGACTTTGATGCCTTTGGCCTGTTTCATTTTGCCCACCGTTATTCCCATGTATTTATGGAATGAATCATTTTTAAACGCTTGGTTTGTAGCCACCATGTTCCGTTGGTGCTTCTTGCTTAATGTCACCTGGTGTGTAAACAGTGCTGCTCACAAATTCGGTGGCCGTCCCTATGACAAGTAAGTTAAAATTCTCTTCCCCTTTCCTCCAGCTTATAACTTATACATTTTTGCTTTAAAAGAAACATTAACCCCTCTCAAAATGCTGCCGTTGCTGCTTTCGCCTTCGGTGAGGGCTGGCACAACTACCATCATGTCTTCCCCTGGGATTACAAGACCGCCGAATGGGGCAACTACTCCATGAACTTGACCACCGCTTTCATTGATTTCTTTGCCAAAATCGGCTGGGCTTATGATTTGAAATCCGTTGCTCCCGAAACCATTGAAAAGCGTGTAAAACGTACCGGTGATGGCACCCATGAACTTTGGGGTTATGGCGATAAGGACATTACCGCCGAAGACAAAGAATCCATCATTACACTTAACAAAAAAACTGAATAATTTGTAAATGTAAAACAAGAAGGGTTTTTGAAAACTTAAATCCGGAATAATCAATAATAAAATCAATCTTAAATTGCATGCAAAACAAATTTGTAAAACAAGAAAAACAAACTAATTTTGAGGTCTTTGCAAAAAAAACTATTAAAATATAATTTTAATTTTAAAATAATATTGTATTTATTAATATTTAGTATTTCTTTTATTTAATAAGGTGTATTTTTATAAAGAAAACATAAAAAACCTCAAGATTAAATTAAACTGAGTAAGAAAATGTGATTTATGTAGATGTAATAAACAAACAAAAATTATTTTATAAACAAAATGAAAAGTTTCATTTTATTTTTGGTGCTTTTCAACACAAAAACATGTGTCCATTTAATCTTATCAAAATATGCAATCGTAAAACACTTATCTATGGAATATTTCCTTTTAAAGTGAATTTTTAGATATTTATAGTCATGCTAGTAAAAAATCAATATTAATTGCGCTAAAGTATAAACATAAATAGTCTGCCATTTATTGGGTGACACCATTGAAGGCCAAAATTTCTTTATAATCTTTTCTTTGGAAAATTGTTGAGATAAAATTAAACACCTGTTGACGAATACGAGGGCTAATCAATGAGTTCTTTTGCAAAGTGAGAAATATTTCAAGGTGTATGTAATAGTTTTATAAATTTTAACATTTATTCTATATAGAGTTAATCCAAATATTTATAATTTTTATAGAAAATACATAATACTAAATATGAACCTATCTGAATATAATTTTGAAGCACTATTTCTGTTTATTTTATAAACTTATGTTTGGAAAAATTAATGTAGGAGTGTGTAAATACATGAAATTTTAGGTATTTAATGATTATTTTCGGGATGTATTTTCTACGTGGTCTAATACTCGCACCAATATAATGTATTACTCTGTAAAACTGTTATGATTTGTTTTCATTACTTGTATACTTTCGTTTTTCTTACCTTATTTGTGGTTATATTGAATTAAACTAGTGGAGACCAAATAATACCTTTGATTTATAAGTTGTTCGGGGACCAACTTCCGTTATGAAGGTATAGGCCGATTGGAGGCCTGGTAATTTGAGTTTCTTAATACTCGCCTACAAATTTAAAGAGTCTAAGCAAAAAAGAACCTTTCTTAGCCAGTTTCAATATTTTTTGGAATCTGATACAACAGTTATTTACTAAATTTCATTCAGTTATCTTCAAAATTGCGCCATATAGTTGTATTACATTATATACGTACTTTTTTCAAAATAACGTTTTTTTTCATTTCCTTTTACCTAAAACACTATTACCAGAACTAATAAATTTATCATAAACACTATTACCAACTGATCGTTTTTTGTAGTTTTTTAAATCCAATTTATATTAACTGTTAAATGGTTCTTCCACTTGCTGCAAAGTGAATTGACAACGTCATAGTGCAAATATGTCACAACTTTACAACAAATTGTTATCATTTTACACACAACTTTCCAAACGTTTTCCATATCACACTTTTAATTTAGCAATACTTTTAAATTTTCAACAATATTCCACTAAAAATTGCCACTTATTTTTAATTTTTTGTTTCTATATTCGCACAAAATGAATGCCATCTTAATGCTTACTTACTTAAGTAAATGCTATTAAATGACAGGCTATCAATTGCAAGTGAATGTAACACAACAAAAACCAGCTGTCGAGCTCTCATTTGTAAACAAAATTCTCTGCAAAATGGAAAAAACGACAATACAAACAAACTGTTGTAATTTTTGCTGTTTTGTTTTCTTTTTGCGGTTTGCAGTTGGTATTGCATTGGGAATGGTAAGTTTTAGTTTAAAAATCTGAAAAACAAATAGCTAAATGATAATTTTTGTAATTAGAAATATCTAATTATTGTTTCCATTTTAATGTAATTTTACAATAAAGAATTTCTATGCTAAATATTCACTGATTTGCATTTGTTTTGAACTGTAAATTTTTATTTGTTTTTCTTTTTTATTTTCTTGGAGCTCTACTAGTGCTCCACTGACCTTGGAAAGTTATTGCTTGTGCGTAGAAATTAGAGGAAAACAGAATTGAAAATCTTTTTTCACATTCTTTGCAGCCAAAAAGTATTATTCCTCTGCAACTTTGTATTACAACAACGATTGTGTAAAAATAATACCGTTTATTCTTCAGCTGGCTTTTATTTTATAACAATAATTACTCTCGTCTGTTTGTCATTTTGCATCAGATATTTGCAATTTACAAGAAAAGTGGATAAAAAATAAAAAGTAAATAATTTATTTATTACATTGGGAACATAATTTATTTGCAAAACAACTATTGAGTAAATTTACAAACTCAAAAAGAAAAACAGCAAAATTATCTCATCGTCCACGAACGAAGAAGAAAGTAATCAAAAAGGAAAACACAACCAGGAGTTTCACTTAAAAGGGATTAAAAATTACAAGAAAAAATTTGTTCTATTGAAATAATTTCTGGAACTGTAAACGTCTTGATTGTCTAGGAAAGCAAATAAAAAGCAAAATTGATATCAATATTTAAAAAGGTTAGTAAAATATGCATTTAATAATTAAAATTAAGAAAATTTTCTTTCGAGAATGTAATACGTAATATTGTTTATTTATGGTGAAATATCAAAAAAAGAAGAAAAACAGGAGTGGTGATGGATTTTCGTTGCCAAGGCAAAGTGTATGGGTTTTTGTGTGTGTGTGTTTATAATAGAATTGGTAAAAATCGTTTTGCCGGGGGTTTATTTTTTGTATGTCGTTTTTTCACAACTTTTCAATAAAAGTAGATGGGATGGAGGATATACATATGTATGTATGTATGTGTAATAAGCGTGAGACATTTACCATGGACACTTAAGTGGGTATGGCGTGGGTAAATTATCACCTGTCACAATTGTAATGAAAATCATTCGACTTGTATTTCCTTACGATTGCATGTTTTGTAACAGTTATTTAAAATATTGAAATCTTTATGGATATAAAATGGGATAGTTTTAAAAATTTTTAATCATATTTAGAGTGGTATTGGAAACTCTTAATCCAAATTACGACTGGGGACTCTATCTTGGAGCAGACAAACTAATATGGTCCAAGAAGTGATAAAAAGAATAACTTTAAAATCAGTATTTGTACACTCCTAATGCATGAAAGAAAAGTTATGTCGAAATCCTTATTATTGTTAAAAATACTAGATTTAGAAAAAAAGTCTGCACTATAGGTCGAAAAAACTAATAATATTTAATCAAAATATTTTCATGTAACTTGGGCGATTTTTGTAAAGAGAATTCACAGTGGTACCAAATGAGATCGCCAGATAAAACTGAAATTTCAATTTATCATAAGTCAATAGTATTTTCCACATACCATGTTTAAATGAATAATACATGATTCAGTAGAATCTGGCAAATTTGTTCCACTAAATCGATTTTGCGGTACCCATTTCAAAAAATACGTTTCTTGAGTTATGTCAGTCTTGCAAAAAATGAGCATTACTGTATACTTTTAGGGTTTAAAAATTATATATATTGTAGAAACGAAAATAAAACATAAAAATACTTGGTGAGAATTCTTACTATGGACCAAATTGATTTCAAAATCTTGCTTTCCTTTTTGAAACAAATACTCCGTTCGTTTCTAATTTATGTTCAAATTCATTTATAAATTTAAATCCATAATATTAAGATCAAATGATTACAATAACAATCTGGAATTTTTTAAATTTCTGGCAAATTTTATTTATATTTTATTATAATCTTAATAAAATTGTTTCCATTTGTTAATAACATACTAATAAATAATTTGAAAAGTTTATGTTATTCAAGTATTAACAAACGTTTACTTAAAGTGTTTTTCTTTTTTTGCGTTTTAAAATTATTCATGGAAATTTTCGAAAAAAAAATGCAAAATAACCAATTAAATTTGAGATTAAACTTATTATTTCTGTATGCAAAAAAAAAAAAAATAGTACAATTCGTGAATAAACAAAAATACAGGGTGCTCATATTTAAGCAATGAAATTGTGATTATGTTGGAAATAATTTTTGGAAAATTTCGTTTGGAAAACTTTGATATTATATACCAATGACTCTTTCAACTTCTACGTTATTTAGAAAAGTTTTCTTAAATAAATTTTCTCCATATTTTTATATTTAAATTAATTTTGACTTGCAAAGCCTAAAGTTTGAGTATAAATAATAAAGCAAAATTTTAAAAATTGCATTGTAACTAATGTTAAAAACAATACAAAGTTCAGTTAATTTCCAAATTCTATTTGGTCCAACCTTTTTATCAATAATTTCTATTTATAGAGTATTTATTTATTTTTGTCTAAAAAAGTCTATATATTAATGATAAGAAATTAAAAGAAATAATATTGAAATTTATTCTGGAATGAAAAATATACATACGTGTATTAAGACATGACTTCCCAAAAATACGAAATCGTACGATAACAATCTCATATAGACATGACACGTTTATCAAATCAATTTGAAGTTTGAAATTGAAGTTCAAGAAAACATGAAACGAATCAAAGGTCGGATAGTCCATAAAAAAATAAAATCTATTTGTTTGCAATATATTTTTTATCGTTGATATGATTAATATTAACTCCGCTAAGTAAGCAACAAAACAATTTAAGTTTATAAACTTAAGAATAAATATATAGATACGGCTGCAAAATAGTTTTTATGAACTAATTTCTAAAGTTAAGTTCCTCGACAACTCCTTTTCAATTATATAAAAGAAATCATTAAAAAGCTATTAAATAAAATGTATTTCTTTAATCGTATTTTATGATCAAATCACTTTAAAGTATAAATGTATGGTAGTTTTTATCTAATCAGTTAAGACGGCTATAAAAAGTACAAATATTAATATTTCTCCAGACATTCTTCACTATATTTTCACTTTTATGCATATATTTTCATTAAAATCTAATCGAAAATTATTTTTCCATTAATTTTGTTGGGGTCAATTTTGATTCAAGTTTTTGGAAAGTAAATACTCTTGTATGTATTGGTTAAGATTAATATCAAGTTATGGCTATAGAAACAACTTTTGGTGCTTCACTATACATTAACTTTTATTCATATCATTTCCTTAAAATCTAATCAAAGTTTATGTTTCCATCAAGATTAGTGGGGTCAATTTCTATACAAGTTTTGTTGCTATTTAAAATTAATTAAATTGATTTCTTTCATATATTCCCACATTATTCTAACCATTTATTCAATTACAATTATTTAATATTTACAAATGTCTATTGTAAATAATTGATAATTTTGTTAAATGCACATAAATTATTTATAGCCTTATTAAATACTTAATGGTATATCATAAAAACTATTGCTACTATTTAACTAAATAAAACTATTACGCATTATTTCATATTTCACAACAATTTGTTGATGATTATTGCACTAAATGAGTTATACTAATTTAAGCAAACATTTAGCCGACCAAAAACCTACACGTCAAATTTCAACTAACAATGCACTTTAGTCTCAGTTGTTTATTCTATTATATTCTAATAAGCGATTTTTGTTGTTGCTTAAATTACTAAACTGTAAATAAATGTTTCACTTTTATGGATGATGAAAACTACTAATAATAATGAAATTAATTTAATATGTACAATAACATTGCCTCTATTTATAGATGATAGCTTTCTTTAAGTAAAAATTGATTTGTTATTTTATGAAATTATATTTTTAAAATATTTATTACGTTGTTCTTTTAATAAAGTCTATGATTAATTAATATTAAAATTATTATGGATTATGACTAGAAAAATTATTGGTACATAGTACATTGTTGTTCTTTAACAGTTTAAGCTGTACAATTTTTAAGCCATGAAATTGGTCTACTTATACAGGGTTAATACTTAAATCCATTGGAGTAAGTAAAGTAGGAAGGCTTAACTTCCAAGATGCAAAAACATCACATGCGTTTACATCCACTCAGATGGGACTCTGTTGAATCGGCAACAGCACCTAGCGACGTAACCGGTAGACCGAAGTATGAATCCATCAAATAAGCAGAGACTTTGTTCTTACTCACAGTGACACACTGTGGTAAATCTGGTATGAACAGAGTTTACTCTGAACATACCTGGACATGGAAGGAAAATTCAATGGTCCCACAGTCACTCCTCTGTGTGGTCTCTGTTGCCATTCGGCAACAACACCGAACTGATCCCAAAATATAGATTTCACCGTCTTTTAGGTAGGCTGGGCAGTTGCATATGTTGTGGGTATCATGGGGACCCTGTCCACATGCTGGGCATATATTGGGGACTGCACGGCACAGTCTATATATACCAGCAACAACTACACAACAACAAGTATATAGTAGATTGTTTTGAGTTGTATCCCTTTAGTTGCAAATGTAACAATTTTTAATAATAATTCTATATTTTGACCAAAACATTTTTATAATCAGTATAAAGAATAATTGATAAAACTTCTTAAATACTTCATATATATTTGCTTGTGCCGAATCATTAACACCCTTCAATTTTGAGTTTTATTAAAATCATTAGGATCATGCAATATCAATCGGGCCAGCAGTTTAAAAGAATACTGTCAATATTTTTAAATATAATTTAATACTAATAAAACTATTAAATGATCTCTTGGAAAGTTTTTCTATTTCTCCAAATATTACTGATTTAATTGCTTTAATATAAAATTATTTCCTTTTCTTTTTAAGAACCCAACAAAATAGCTGTGAATGATATATATGTATGATGGTGTAGGGTTTAATATAATAGAAATATTTTCGTTGTTAACTGGAAATAATATTGATATTGATATTCATTATCTTTTAATTTGATAACAATTCAAGTTATTTAAATATTTTTAAAATTACTTTGCAAAACCAATTGTGTCATATTTCAAGTAACTATAAAAAATTTAGGAAATCCTTTGAATTCCATTAGAAATAGAAAATCATTTACAAAACAACGCATTTAATTTTTTTTTTTACATATTAAATGCTATTTAAACTTCAAACAGTCATAAAACTTATACAATTTAATTTGTTACTTAGATTTTAAAGGGGCGCAACTGACAACACCTGATTATTAACTCTTAACGTATTAATATTTTAAAATGTCATGGTAAATTGTTTAAAAATGGGCGTTGAAAAAAATAATTATTTTATTACAGTAAATAGTAAAGGATATTTTAACAGTGATTTACAATTATTTATTACTTTAGTTTATGTCCTTAAATAACAAAAGTATAGCTGAAAATTTGAAGTTATAATTTCCAACAATATTTCAGACATAAAACACATTAATAATACTGCAATTTACTCTCAAAATAATTGGAATTTTGTTGTTAAAGTTAATTATTTCAGTTTAGAAAAATTCTGAAATCGAGTTAAGTAAAATGGACTTGAAAGTTTAATTATTTCACTATAATTTATTACTAAGAGTAGTCAATGGACTAGTCCAAAGACTATTCATTAAACATATAGAATATGCATATACTACAATTTTAAAATAGCAGAAATATTCAATGGATAAATATTC